GTGGCGAGTGGGCCCCCTTGTTCGCTCCGCGAGAGGGCGCCGCTCGAAGCAGAGAGAAACACCATACGCGCAAACGTTTTTTGGCGTTCCGCGGTGGATGTCCTGGATCAGCGCTGGGGCCACTCGGCAGCGCCTCAGGCGCCGCCCCTGGCGCGCCCCGCGCGCCAGGGAGGGGGGGTCCAGCGCAGATCCAAGAGCTCCGCGCGGAGCCCGTCATGTTTGGGGTCCTCGGTCTCGGTCTTGGGCCGTTTTTGTGAAAACGGGTGGTATGCTAGAGCGAGGCGTTGTCCACCGCTGAGACCCTCGAGCACGCGCGTCCAGCACATTGTGTCTTGGTCCTCCTGCTCTTCCTCCCAATCAGGAGCGCAGGCCCCCCCTTCGATCCCATCGATCCGACCCGACGTCGATCCTGGCCGGCTCGATCCGATTCGATTCCGCGCCTTGCTCGGCCCGATGCGGTTGACCGATCGTATTCGATTTCGACGCCGTGCAGGCACAGCTCGATCCGACGCACATGTCGATTGGATCCGATTTCCCGTTTGGATGCTGACTAACCTTGGGCCGCAGGCCCCCTCCTGCTGACTATGCCATCTCCCCCACTGACGCTTGGTGTATGCCAACCCTTCGGAGTGACAGTGCACCTCCTCTCCTCGCTGCTCCGACAGACGTGTCGGCAGGGCGGGCTGGGCAGTTCGCTTGAGACCCCTCACGATCACTGATCCTGAAGCTACCGTGAGACGTCCAAGTGTTGCGCGGCCAGAGGTCTTGCTCCAGCGCCGCGCACGTTCGCAGCACAAGTTTCGAAAAGGTGATGTGAGATCGGTTTCAACACGTGATTCTCGCCGCGGCGTTGCGCACATTCGTCTCCAGAGCTTGCAGCAACTACATGGATGGAGGGCGGCTCGATTAAGATATGTGGAGCTCGTTTTGGCGCTGCCGCCGCACACATTCGTTTCAGCATCTTGTGGTTGATGCCTTCGGTCACCACGGACAGAGGGAGGCCTGTGTTCGGAATGATGTGTTGTGTGTTACTTGTCTGCGTTCTGAAATTACTTTCCCAGCGATGGCGGAGGATGGTGCAGGGCAGTTAAGTTCCAAAACGAGGTTCCAGATTGAAAGGCACGCGCAATGGGGCTATCACCTTTGTGGGGGGGGGTCCCCGCAGAGGGACCACTCGTGGGGACTTCGGAGGAGGGCACCAAACTGGAGTGTGTGTTGCAGCATCGTTGGAGTATTCTGGCTTTTCTTCTCCTCGTCTTCCACTCCGTCTCTTCTTCTTCCCCCCTTCTTCTCCTCCTCCTCCTCCTCCTCCTCCTCCTCCTCCTCCTCCTCCTTCCCTCGATCTCAGCCGCTCCAGCCACGAGGACAATTCCGCTTGGCAGGGGAGGGGGGGGGAGGGAGTCGGGGCACGCCCGACGTGTACCAGCAGCACTGGCCCCGCCAGGCCCCGGCCCCGTGCCGAGCATGGCCCCAGCCACCACAAAGTCAGGTCGGGTGTGAGTGTGGGAGGGGGGGGGGCGATCGTGGCGATCTCGGCGGGCCGATGTACCACCATCATTGCCACAGGTAGGACAGGGGGAGAGGAAGCTGGGGAGATCTTCCTCCTCCTCCTTTTCAAATACAACCCACAGGAAAGTCCGATAAGCCGAACTGAAGCTGCTGCTGCGGCCTTTGCAACTACACACCGCTCAAGGCGAACGGAGAGAGAGGGAGGGAGAGATACGGGGAAGAAAGACACAGAAGAGAAATGGCCCGAGCCAGCTCCTGCTTCTTCGTCGCGGCCAAACCGCGAGGCAAGAGGGGATTGGAGGGAGTGCCCAAAACTGTAGTTTCCCACCTTCTGATGACGCCACCAAACTCCCCTCTCTCTGGGTGTCCCCTTCCTGCACTTGGGCGAAAGCTGAGTTCGTGGCCGGCTTACCACGCCCAACTAAGCTCTTGGTTCGGGCCAAGCGGCATGCACACCCACTGAGAAGATCCTCCGCTCCACCCCGCGATACACATCTCCCCGCCACCCCCAGGTAAGCTCTAGAGGCCAGCCCCTGACTGTCGCTAGTCTAGCTCTTGGCTGCTGGGAGGCACGGTATAAGAAGGGAGAGGACTGTGTGGAGGGAAGCAGGGAGGAGCGGGCAAGGTAGAAGAACGGAGAGGAGGCACCGAAGGCGGGAGCATTGATGTAAGGCAATCCTTGCACCGCCCCACCTCACTCAGGAGGTCATGTGCTCCTGCGGTGCACGGCTGGCCTCTCCAGCTTCGAGAAGCAGCACGTGCTTTGATCACCCCACAACCCCAACCCCTCCACCAACATCCCTTAAACAAGGCACAACAGAAGGCAGACCGTGGCTCATGTGGCCTCGCTTGGGGGAGGGGGAAATGGAGGGACATAAGAAATGGCTGGGGAGGGAGAACGAGCAAGTCCGCTGCAGCCCTGGGCAGCCGTTAGGCTTCGGCCCGTCGGGCTGGCTTCGATCTCTTTCACTCACCTTCTCTAGGCCTGCTCACTCTCATGGACCTGTACACCCTAGGCGATGCTTAAGAAAACCTAAGTTTTCGTCCAGAGTCTCGATTATTCTTAACGTTTCAATGTAAATCCTAAGAATTCAATGGAAATGTTGGGTTTTTCTCCAAGTTCTGAGACTATGAATTTCTTAACCCATGATTTCTTAAGCATTTCGCGTGGTGTACCCCTCGTGAACCACAACCTTCGTAGGCGACCGCGTTCCAGCCGCCTCTCGTCACGCTCTCGTTCTGCAGTGGTCTCTCCAGACCGTTGCCGTCTGGGGCGTTTGCGCTCCGTTCGCTCTTGTTCTTCACGCAGCTGCAGCTCTGCATCGCCTTCGAGATGAATTGATGGTGCGTCTGGCATCTCGGGCAATCGATCCGCGAACGACATGACTTTGGGCTCCCGCCTCGCAACCTGCGGCACATGATCCTTGAACTTGTCGTCTGGGCACTGAAACAAGCCACGGCCCTTTGGCAGCTCAAGCTGCTCTGTTGTGCCCGGGGCGTCCTGGACGACACGTTGCTGTACTCATAGGCTTGAAACTCGCTCTCTGTAGCGCAGGCTGTCTCGCACTGGGTGTCGTCAGTCACTGCGAGAGCGCAACACTTCCACGTCCCCTCTCTCGCAGTGTAAATCCCCCTCCTTCCCACAAGGCTGCCCCGGCGTCGGGGCCTCAATCGTCAGCCAGACGCCGAGGCCTAGAGGAATATGCGGCTGCGCCTCTGGGCTCATCTCGTTGCCACCAGCACCGCACCATGCTGGGAAGTCTCCGCATTCGCCGACTGCATCGGTCGCCGATGGGAGACTGGCGGCCGAGGACTCCAGCCCAGGCTCCACGCTGCGCCGCTCGGCGCTGCGGGGGAGCCGCCGTCGGCACGCCAATGCCCTTGGCCACCAAGTGCAGAGCCACAATTCCGCCGCCTGTCGGCTCTGAAACCAGCGCCGGCACGACACGGAGAGTGCGCCCCGCCGCCGAGGCTCGAAGTTCGCCGAGGGGCAGCGAACGCGATCTGTGTTTCTGGGGCGACGGGGGAGAGGGCAATGCTTTTGTAGGGCAAGAGCAAGCATGAGCAGCCCCCCATCGTCGGCAAGAGTGAACCTGAAATCAGCGCCTCTCGCGAAGGGCGGCTGTAAGGATTGCTGCTGACCGATCAAGCGCGCCCGCCGAGCGTACGGGGATCTGGCCCTGGAAACAACGCTGCCCCCCCAGCGACCTTCAAGTCGAGGCGTCCACCTGGAGTAGCACCCTCGTTGGGTTACGAGAGCTCGCCGTGCTTCGCCCGGGAGCTTGCGGGCGCCGGGCCGAGCTCCTCCACCGCGCGATCGGCAGAGCGCTTCGCCCGAGCGAGCCCTGCTCGCCCTGCGATCTGCTGCGGTCTTCACCGGATGCGCAGCTTCCCGCGCCATCCCGAGATGCATTGCAGTTGAACTCTTTTCTTCGATGCTCATTTTGGGGACCTTCTTGGGGCCCACCTAATGGATCTGTTCGACTCAGGTTCGACTCAAGTTCGACTCAGGTTCGACACTGATTCGACTCAGATTCGACTCAGGTTCGACTCAGGTTCGACTCAGGTTCTACTCAGGTTCGACGCAGCTTCGACGCAGAAGTGGAGCGAGTGGCTCCAGGAAGGTCCCCAGAATGAGCATCTAACCTTTCGCAGAAGCAACAGGACAAACATGCCAGGCTTGCTTGAGCAACACAAAGGGGGGGGGGCTTATTCCGCTGGTGGACGGCTCGAGCCAGAACGGCTACGGAATCCTCCTCCTCCTCTTCCTCCTCCCCCTCCTCCCTCCCCTGCCTATGGTAGTGGTGGTTGACACTCGGCCCATCGATCGTGTGCCCTTGCCCGCGGAGGCGAGTGCACTTTGCGCCCTGTGACTCAGCAGTCGTAATTGTTTGTCCTCCTGTGAGAGAGCGCAGAGAGAGAGAGAGAGAGAGAGACAGGGCGGACCGAGCTGCGCGCGGCACGAAGACCGCGACGGGTGGCATGTGCAACGATCCTGTCGACTACACTCAGGAGGGAAAGAAACACACAGACACAATTAATCCTCGATTTCCCAGAAAATATTGGAAAACATGGGAGGTGGGGGGGAATGCAAAAACCAAGAAAATATACGAAACTATGGGGAATACCGTTGTTTGTGTGTATTTATTTGTGTGTCCCAGGGCCCCTTCATAAACGCAAGAGTGACACCTCGCAGGAGTGACCACCCTTTGGTGCGGGCGACCACGGCTGCTTGCGCGCTGGGAGCTGGCCCGCCTCCCTTCGCCCGCGCACCTGAGGCTAGCCTGGCCTCGGGCCACTTCTGCGTGCAGCCGACCCTGGGCCCACGATGGACGACGGGCGTGGCCAGGCCGATGGACGAGGGACGCTGGACGATGGACGATGATGGCCGATGATGGCCGATGATGGACGATGGACGATGATGGACGATGATGGACGATGGACGATGGACGATGGACGATGATGGACGATGACGGCCCACAGCCCGGCGCAGCATTTTTGCGTCGAGCCCGGGGCCCTCCGGGGCGGCGGCCGCCCGGCCGGGCGGGGCACTGGCGAGGGGCGCCCCCCCCGGCGGGCACCTCGACGGGGCATGTACAGGGCCGCCGATGGGCCGCAGCAGGTCCAGGTCCCGTGGCCGCCCTCTCGGCCTCCGCCCGGGGTCTTCGGCGTCAGGGTCCGCCAGAGGGCCTCGGAGGCCTGCGAGGGTCCTCGCGGGGGGGCGCCAACTCCGCCCGGAAGATCGTGATGCTATTTGCATGGAGGGAGCAAAGAGGACGACGGCGGGGGAAGAAGGAGGAGGGAGGAAAAAGGAGGGGAACTCTTCGATGGCGACGACGGCGAGGAAGGGGTAACGACACCGACAGCAACAAATTCGGCGATGGAGAAAGAGTAGGGCCAACGACGACGAGCAACGAGGAGGCAGGATGACACCGACGACGCAGGGGGAGGGAGGCAAGGCTGGTTCCCGCGGCGCTCGCAGACACGTCGTTGTGCCCGCTGGCCCTTGTTGAACCTGTTCGACGCGCTGTTTCGCGCGACGTGGTGCTCGCATGCGGTTGCTATTTTTGCATGGACTGTTTCCTCTTCGCCGCGCGGCTGTCGCATGTGCGCCGCGCTGCCCGCGGGCATGCCAGCGCCCGCAGGCTGCCTGCGGCGCTCCAGGGAGCACCGGAGTTTACAACCTCGGGCCCGGAGCGCGCGTTCGTGCTTGGTTTTGCATGTGTGAGGTGCGCGGGTGGCCAAGGTGCGCGTGGGCCTCTGGTGTGCGTGCGCGTCTGATTGCGCGTGCGATTGCGCGTGCGATTGCGCGCGTGCGCGCGCTCGCTTCAGTCGCTCTTGTCTGCGGCTCCTTCGGCCCGCGCCACGGCCCCTCGAGCGCCCCGCGCCGACAAGCGGTGGCACCCCCCGCTCCTCCCTTTCGTCCTCGGTTGGGTCGCCGGTTGGCGTTGCGCCTTCCGCTCGCGCCTCCTTTGCGCCGGACGATTTTTCTTTTACATGAAGGGGCGTCTGCGCTCGGTTCCCAGGCGCGCAGGCGTGCCGCATCGCTCCACGAGGAAGCGGATTCATGGGAAGCGCGCCCCGTGTGGAGCCGGCGGCGCGTCTGAGGAATAAATGCGCGTGTTTGTGTGTGTGTGTGGCTGCGTGTGGTTGCGTGTGTTGTGTGTGTTTGTTGTGTGCGTGTGAGTGTGTGTGTGTGTGTGTATGTGAGTTTGTGTCGTTTGCGTGTGTATCCGTAACCCCCTCGTTGGTTCAAGCCGACTGGTGTACCCCTGTGCTCCAGTGCCGTGTGAGTGCGTGCGCGTGTGTCTATGTGTGTGAATGTGTGTGATGTGTGTGTGTGTGCGTGTGGGTGTGAATGTGTGTTTGTGCGTATGTGCGTCTGTGTGTTTTGTGCGGGTGTGTCCGTGCCGTCTGCAAGCTTTGCCGCCCGCGTTCGTTCCGTGCGGTTTGTTCGATTTGTTCCGCCTCGTCGCTGTCCAAGCATGTGTGGCTTTGTTTGTGTGTGCCTGCTACGTGCATGCGTGCGTTTGCGCGTGCGCGTGCGTGTATTTGCGTTTGGTGCGCCTGTATGTTTGCACAGTTGTGCCCACGCAAGCGGTACCACCGTTACCCGCAGTCCCCCCCCCGCCCACCCCCGAATCCCAATCAAAAGACAACTCGCAGCTTGGGCACCACCGCCAGCCCAAACGGCGAGCATAAATCGGGTGTAGCCCCGCACGCATTCGAATGCCCACACTTCGTCTTCATACTGCTCGTATTCCTCCCCGTCTTCCTCCCCATCCTGATCGTCGTCGTCCTCCTCCTCGTCCTCCTAATCCTCCTCGTCTTCCTCGTCTTCCTCCTGCTCCAGCTCCTCCTCGTCGTCCTCTTTTAGGACATTGTCCTGCTTTGCCTGCGCGGTGCGTTGCATGACCCCCATAGTTTTCTCTGGGGTCGGCGGCAGAGGCCATAGGTTGCGCCCTGGGTTGCTCCATAGGTTGCTCCATAGGTTGCGCCCTCGGCGGCTGAGAATAATTTGAGGGAGTTTCTGTGGAACTCACGTCATCCTCACCCCCGGCGCGAAGAGCACGAGTCCAGAGCGGCCTCCGGCACCGTTTCCGGACAGATCCGCTGGATCCGTGGATCCGCCGACGAATCCCAAACTGGCGCCCTCGCTTGAGACATCCTCACAAAACGGGCCCCGGGGGAGATGCCCAGAGGAGCCCAGAGCGGCCTCCGGCACCGTTTCCGGACGGATCCGCTGGATCCGGTGGGTCCGCCGACGAATCCCAAACCGGCGCCCTCGCTTGAGACATCCTCACAAAATCGGCCCCGGGGGAGGTGCCCAGAGGAGCCCAGAGCGGCCTCCGGCACCGTTTCCGGACGGATCCGCTGGATCCGGTGGATCCGCCGACGAATCCCAAACCGGCGCCCTCGCTTGAGACATCCTCACAAAACGGGCCCCAGGGGGGGTGCCCAGAGGAGCCCAGAGCGGCCTCTGGCACCGTTTCCGGACAGATCCGCTGGATCCGGTGGATCCGCCGACGAATCCCAAACCGGCGCCCTCGCTTGAGACATCCTCACAAAACGGGCCCCGGGGGAGATGCCCAGAGGAGCCCAGAGCGGCCTCCTGCACCGTTTCCGGACGGATCCGCTGGATCCGGTGACGAATCCCAAACCGGCGCCCTCGCCTGAGACATCCTCACAAAACGGCCCCGGGGGAGGTGCCTAGAGGAGCCCAGAGCGGCCTCCGGCACCGTTTCCGGACGGATCCGCTGGATCCGCTGGATCCGGTGACGAATCCCAAACCGGCGCCCTCGCCTGAGACATCCTCACAAAACAGGCCCCGGGGGGGATGCCCAGAGGAGCCCAGAGCGGCCTCCGGCACCGTTTCCGGACGGGATCCGCTGGATCCGGTGACGAATCCCAAACCGGCGCCCTCGCCTGAGACATCCTCACAAAACGGGCCCCGGGGGGGATGCCCAGAGGAGCCCAGAGCGGCCTCCGGCACCGTTTCCGGACGGATCCGCTGGATCCGCTGGATCCGGGACGAATCCCAAACCGGCGCCCTCGCCTGAGACATCCTCACAAAACGGGCCCCGGGGGGGATGCCCAGAGGAGCCCAGAGCGGCCTCCGGCACCGTTTCCGGACGGATCCGCTGGATCCGCTGGATCCGGTGACGAATCCCAAACCGGCGCCCTCGCCTGAGACATCCTCACAAAACGGGCCCCGGGGGGGATGCCCAGAGGAGCCCAGAGCGGCCTCCGGCACCGTTTCCGGACGGATCCGCTGGATCCGGTGGATCCGACGAATCCCAAACCGGCGCCCTCGCCTGAGACATCCTCACAAAACGGGCCCCGGGGGGGATGCCCAGAGGAGCCCAGAGCGGCCTCCGGCACCGTTTCCGGACGGATCCGCTGGATCCGGTGGATCCGCCGACGAATCCCAAACCGGCGCCCTCGCCTGAGACATCCTCACAAAACGGGCCCCGGGGGAGATGCCCAGAGGAGCCCAGAGCGGCCTCCGGCACCGTTTCCGGACGGATCCGCTGGATCCGGTGGATCCGCAGCCCCAGTGCTGGGGGTCGGAGTGTTGGGCAGGTAGACGCTGGGTGTTGATAGGTGGAGGTGGTGGTGGGGAGTCGGATGCTGGAGGCTGGAGGTCAGAATGCTGAGCTTGTGGCCGCTGAAGGCCCATGGGTGGAGGTGGAGGTGGAAAGTCGGATGCTGGAGGCTGGAGGTCGGAGTGCTGAGCAAGTGGAGGCCAGTGGTCGATAGGTGGAGGTGGAAGTGGTGGTCATAAGCTGATGGGGGCGGGAGTGCAGACTGGGAGGATGGACGTCGGAAGTTTGGGGTCGGACCCCCCCCGCGCCGCCCTCCTAGGGCCGGTTCCGCCGGACCGTCATCACGCGCTCTCTCTCTCTCTCTCTCTCTGTCTGGCTCTCGCTCTCCTCAACCTCGCCCACCTGCTTCACGACCCTGCTCCTCCCGCTCCTCATTCTCATTCTCTTGATCCTCTCTCTTCTCTTGATCCTCGCTCTGCTGACCCTCGCTTTCCTCTGCTGATCCCCCCTCCCCTGCTCCACAACCGCCCGATCCTCACCCTCCTGATTCTCATTCTCGCCATCATCGCTCTTCTGACCCTCCTCCTCCGTATCTTCACCGTCCTGCACCAAGCCCGCCCGATCCTCAGGGCTGCTGAGGAGAGGGAGAGGGGGGGGCGACGACGACGCCGAAATAAAGTTGTCGGGGCGGAGGGGGCGGTGCGCTGGGGTGCTGGGGAGCGACACATAGCGACACATGTCGACACAACGCCGAAATAGGGCGACGACGACGCCGAAATAAAGTGGTCGGGGCGGAGAGGGCGGTGCGCTGGGCTGCTGGGGAAAGCGACACATGTCGACACAACGCCGAAATAGGGCGACGACGACGCCGAAATAAAGTGGTCGGGGCGGAAAGGGCGGTGCGCTGGGCTTCTGGGGAAAAGGACCAGGGGGGGGAGCGACGACGACGCCGAAATAAAGTGGTCGGGGCGGAGGGGGCAGCGCGCTGGGCTGTTGAGGAGAGGGAGAGGGGGGGGGGGGGCGACGACGACGCCGAAATAAAGTGGTCGGGGCGGAGGGGGCAGCGCGCTGGGGTGCTGGGGAGCGACGCATAGCGACACATGTCGACACAACGCCGAAATAAAGTGGTCGGGCCGGGGCAGGGGGGGCGCGCTGGGCTGCTGAGGAGAGGGAGAGGGGGGGGGGCGACGACGACGCCGAAATAAAGTCGTCGGGGCGGAGGGGGCGGTGCGCTGGGGTGCTGGGGAGCGACACATAGCGACACATGTCGACACAACGCCGAAATAAAGTGGTCGGGGCGGAGGGGGCAGCGCGCTGGGCTGCTGAGGAGAGGGAGAGGGGGGGGGGCGACGACGACGCCGAAATAAAGTCGTCGGGGCGGAGGGGGCGGTGCGCTGGGGTGCTGGGGAGCGACACATAGCGACACATGTCGACACATATCGACATATAGAGACATATATCGACACACACACATATCGACGCATAGCGACACACAGCGACACATAGCGACGCACACATGGAGACGCATAGCGACACACAGCGACACATATAGCGGCACATGAAGGGCACAAGGCACACAGCGACACATATAGCGACACATGAAGGGCACAAGGCAGCTGGGGGGGAGCGACGACGACGCCGAAATAAAGTCGTCGGGGCGGAGGGGGCGGAGGGGGCGGTGCGCTGGGGAGCGACACGTAGCGACACATGTCGACACATATCGACATATAGCGACATATATCGACACACACATTTATCGACGCATAGCGACACACAGCGACACATAGCGACGCACACATGGACACGCATAGCAACACACAGCGACACATATAGCGGCACATGAAGGGCACAAGGCACACGGCGACACATATAGCGACACATGAAAGGGCACAAGGCAGCTGGGGGGGAGCGACGACGACGCCGAAATAAAGTGGTCGGAGCTCTTAGACACCCTGTGCAAGAGAATAAAACCGTCTCCTATCGGTTGCGCCATAGCTTGCGCCCTCGGCGGCTGAGAATGAAACGGTGTCCCATCGGTTGCGCCATAAGTTGCGCCGTCTGCTATCGGTTGCGCCATAGGTTGCGCCATCGGCGGCTGGGAATGGAACGGTCTCCCATCGGAACGACCGCTGTGTGCGATGGGGCGAAGTAAGTATTATCCATCCACGACGTGGATTCCAGAAGTCTGGAGCCTACACTAAGATCTGCCTAGGGATCTGCCACGCACATATGCAATGAGCGAACATACCAACGCGCCCAGTGAGCTCAAGTGCCGACAAGATGTGGGCAGACGATGGCCTGCACACCCAAAGTTGGATCTCCTGGCACCGCAGGCCCACTGGTGCCCGCTTGAGGCAAGCCCAGAACAGACACATTGGTTTAGACGAAGAGGAGGAGGAGGAGGAGGAGGAGGAGGAGGAGGAGGAGGAGGAGGAGGGGGAGGAGGAGGAGGGGGAGGGGGAGGAGGAGGAGGAGGAGGAGGAGGAGAGGAGGAGGAGGAGGAGGAGGGAGGAGGAGGAGGAGGAAGAGGACGACGGAGAGGCGGAGGAAGGGGGGGAGACGCGCGACGGGATCCTGCGGACGGCCGTCTCGCAGCACGCCGGGGGCCCCCGCGATTCCCGCCCGGACCCTCCACTGAGGGGCCGGTTTTTTCCACCACCGCCACCAGGAGTGGAGGGGGGGGAGGGGGAGGAGGAGGAGGAGGGGAGGGGAGGAGGACGGAGGAGGAGGAGGAGGAGGAGGGAGGAGGAGGAGGAGGAGGAGGAGGAGGAGGAGGAGGAGGAGGAGGAGGAGGAGGAGGAGGAGGAGGAGGAGGACCCTGTCCCCCTTCCAGCATCTGGTGGTGGTGGTGGTGGTTCTGGTGCAAGACAGGCCCATCACTCCAGGCATCGCAGTCCGTGGGCCCCAGACGGGCAGAGCAAAAAGTGGCGACGAGTGTGCGCGCCTGGACCTGGGTAGGGCGAAGTCTAGTGTCAAGTCGGGCCTGTCCCTCTACAATGGGAATATTCAAGAATTGTCAACAAAAATAGTCTGGGGACGATTTTTGATTATTTTTAACATCATTGGAGTATCTTTCTAGTATATCTTATTGTTCGCCAGAAGTCCGCCTGTAGGGGGACATGCTCGACCTAAGTCTAGTGGAAGTCTGCAAGGGGGCCCCCTGGGGCGCACTAGAGGGGCGACGGTGGCCCTCCTCGCAGCGCCCCGGGAGGGCGACGGCGCAGGAAGCGCTGAGAGGGAAGAGGGAGGAGGAAGGGAGGAGTTTGAAGGACTCGCATGTTCTAGCGAGGGTCTACCGCAGGAGGTCGGTTCGAGAGCTGCCGGGCCTACGCGGAAGGAAACAAACAGCACGACGTCGAATGCCAACAGTCAGCAGGCAGGTCCCGACCAGGCCTGATGCAGCGCAGACACCGGCTGGGCAGCGTCTCGGTGCGTGTGTCTGTTTTGGGACAGGCTAGGGCCTGCTCGAGTGTCCCCCCCACCCCGCAATCGACGAGCCACACTCGAGGGGGTTCCCCCCCCCGCATTCGAGAAGCCACACTTGGGGGGGCGGGGCTGTGGTCTTTACCCCCCCCCAGGGCCCCATCGGCTTCGAGACCCCTCCCTGGGAGGCCGTCGACACGGGGTGCCCACCCCCGTCGGCAGCTGGTCGGCCCAGGTGGCGGCCGCGGCCACCCCTCCAGGCCCAGTCGTGGTGCGCCGAGGTGGACTCGCACGCCCACGTGCGCACGGTGCGGCTCTCCCTGCAGGAGCGGCCAGACGAGACGTACTGGGCCCTCGCCGACGACGCGGCGGGCCTCGAGCAGTTCCTCCGCCAGGGCGCGAGGGGCCTCAAGGTTTATATGATTTTCCAACCGACCCTTAGTCTTCACCACCAGAAAGACTTGCGAGCACCAGGAAAGAATTGAAACATTGGATGGTTTCCACGCGTCGGGCCCTGGGAGGCGATGCTTGTTCGACTCGGTTTCGACACTTTTCCCCGGGAGCTCGAGATTCTTTTTGGGATGTGGCCCTTCAGCACGATGGTTACCAGCCTCGAACGTATCCCTATCCCTAAGATTGACACGCCAAATGGCGATGACAATCTCAGGCATTCGCCCTCAAAAAATAAGGGAACCCCTGAGATTGGCATCGTGATGACGAGGTGCCCAGCATAGGGATAGGGATATGTTCCAGGCTGGTAAGATGGGAGCGATATGCCTCGAGGTGTCCCTGAAGCTCGGCGCGCTGCAGCTGCTGGGGCACGGCGCCCTCGGCAGCGTGCTGCGGGCGGCGGCGCAGAGCGGCGCGAGCGTGACCCACCTGGACCTCTCCTCCAACGGCCTGGGGGACGACGTAGCCGAGGAGATCGCGCGCTTCGCCGAGTGCCAGGACGCAGGCGGTCGCAGGCATAGATGGAAGGGGGCGTGCAGCAGCGACGGGTCCCGCTCCCGTGGGACATCGCAGATCTCCGCCGCCGAGCGAGGCGGCATCCGGCCGCACTTGGGGGGGAGCACCGGCCTCCCCCGATCCATAGATTTGGCAACCGCGCGCCAAACCTGATGGGCGTGTTTTCCACCACCACCACCACAAGTTGGAGGGGGGGTCCTCCTCCTCCCCCTCCTCCTCTTCCTCCTCCCCCTCCTCCTCCTCCTCCTCCTCGCCCTCCTCCTCCTTCCCCCCTCCAACTTGTGGTGGTGGTGGTGGTGGAACACAGGCTCATCAAAATCCGTGGATCGCTAACCCACGTCTGCGCGCCCCCCGCAGGACGTCTCCCTGAGCGAGCTGCAGCTGGCCAACAACCGCATCTCGGCCCTCGGCCTCGCCCAGATCTGCGCCGCCCTCGCCGGCCGCCAGGCCGGCGAGGGCAGCGCGGGGGGCGCGGCGAGCCCCGCCCCGTTCGGGGAGGACGTGAGACTCGAGCACGGGGGGGCGCGCAGCAAGAAACCAGATGCTTTGCGTCAAGGTATGCCCCGGGTGTCTTCGCCCCGCGCGCTGCGCGGTGGCTTCCCGCAGCCGCCGAAGAAGCTGCTGCGCTCAGGGCGCTCCGTCTTTCCCTCGGGTGCACCTTGCGCACGGGTTCTCAGGGTTGGGTTTCTTGCGAGGGTTTCTTGCGGCCGCGCTCGCCATGCAAGCCAGAGCCCGGATTTGCCGACGTATTTTGACGAGCGTTTCTTGGATGTTGACGATCCGGTTTGCGTGGGATGTTTTTGCAGCGGGAGCTCGCGTCAAGATTCAGATTGGGTCTAGTCGCTTTCACTGATGGCCCCGTCGGGCTAATCCGAGTCCCCCGAACCCGAGCCTTACGACTCCCCGGCCCATGTTGGCTGGACCTGCGCGGGAACGCGGTGGACCGGCCCCGGGAGGTTGCCAGGTGCCTGGACGAGCTCGGGGTTCCCACGTGCCCGGGGGCCCGCTGCTGCCGCCAGCGGTGCATTCGGCTTTAAGATCATGGGAGCCTCGTGTACCAACGTAATTCGGCCTTTTCCAATACACTAGCGGCGATTAGCGTCTGGTCATCGATGATTCAGCGTCAATTTATGGCCGATGAGCGTCGATTGGCGTCGATGTAGCGTCGACTGACGTCAATTTGCAAGAGCCGACAGGCGGGTACCCATCGGTCGTTGACAGTAAGTTGTTTTGGATTCCCAGATTCCACTCTACTTCCAGCGCCTTCCGAATTGCTTCAATGATCGAGTGGCTTCACCTTTCCCGTCCTCCTTAGGGGGCGGACGGTACCAAATATATTCTCAAAGCCTTCCTACTCTATGTTTATATATATATATATATATATCTCTTCCGACCGATGGGCACGGGAGCTCCCACGAGTTGCCACCAAAGGTGCCTCGTCTCCGCCCCGGTGCACCTCGCGGGCGGCCTGGTCCCCCAGCGCGCGGCGCGCCGCTGGCGCAGCGAGGAGCTGGCGGAGGCCCTGCAGCAGATCTCCCAGCGGCCGCCCCCCCCGCGGGTGCCGCGCCCACCCCGAGGGGCCTGGAGGAGCTCTAGGCCTCCTACCCACCAGTCGTTGAAAGCAGGTATTTCTGGAGTCCCAGATTCCAATCCACTTTCAGGACCAAGTGGCTTCACCGTTTCCGACCTTGTTAGGGGGCTGGCGGATACCAAATCCATTTTCAATGCTTCCCTACTTAAGGTTTCTACCTACTTCTTCCGACCGATGGGCAGGCCTCCTAGATGGGGTCGGAGCACGTGAGGTCGGAGGATCTTTCCGCGTCGCCGATGCATCGCCGATGCGGCTCGGTGTGGAGCCCGATTCCCTCCACGCCGACGGCGCCGATGTATCTCCGACGTCGCCGGTGCATCGCCGGTGGATCGCCGATGCAGCGGCGATGCATCGCTGGTGTGTCGGCGATGCGGCGAGATCATTCGACCCCATCTACTCGGACCCCATCTGGGAGGCCCTCTTAGGTGCCGCGCCCACCCCTGGGCCTGGAGAAGCGCGTACCCCCGCCGCCCAGCGAGGACAGGGCGGGCGTCGCGGCGCAGTTGGCGGAGTGGACGGTCGAGGAGTGCCTTCACCTGCGGCCCCGCGCCCTGTCGCCGCTCGGGCTCCCCGACGTGCCGCCCATCTCGGAGGGACAGATCATCCAGGCTTACGTCGGGCGTGCCCCTCTGCATGAGGAAAATTCTTCACGCTTCGCGTATCCCCACCAGCCCATCTCAAAACAGCAACTCTAGCGAAGCATGCCGACAGTCGTGTTTTTCAGGCGTGTTTCCGCCTGCCCCCGCATATCTCCCCTGTTCCTCCTTCCTCCCGCCTCCTTGTACATCCTCCTTGTGGTGGGAGCGGGAGAAGGACGAGGCGGAGGAGGAGGGAGAGAAAGCGCTCCTCGTGGTTTGAGTCGTTCGGGCTTCTCGTCCTGGTGTGAGTCGTTCGGGCCCTTCTTCCTGGTGTGAGTCGTTCGGGCTCTTCGTGGTGTGAGTCGTTCGGGCTCTTCGTCCTGGTGTGAGTCGTTCGGGCTTCTCGTGGTGTGAGTTGTTCGGGCCCCTCGTCCTGGTGTGAGTCGTTCGGGCCCCTCCTCCTGCCCGTCCAGAAACGACGCCCAGGCGAGTAGAGGGTCGTCCTGATGGGCTTTTCGGCGTCTTGGGTGCCTCGGGGGGGCCTCTTTGGGCCGTTTGGGATCCTCTTGGGGGCCTCCTGGGGGCCTCTTGGGGCCATCTTGGGGCCTCTTGGTGCCTCCTGGGCGCTTCTTGGGGCCATCTTGGAGGAAATCGATCAAAGAAGAGGGGAGCTTTAATTAGCGCTGCCCCCTCAGAAGGCCAAAATGGGGCCAAAACCTTAGTAAAATCAATGATTCTGGCTTGAAAGAAGAGGGGAGCTTTAATTAGCGCTGCCCCCTCAGAAGGCCAAAATGGGGCCAAAACCGTAGTAAAATCAATGATTTTGGCTTCAAAGAAGAGGGGAGCACTTTTCTCCCTCCCCCCGTCGGGCCCAGAATCCTCGTGAGTGGTGTCGTTTTTTTGCCCTCCCAGGAGTCGAAAAAGACCCCCCCGGCGACCCGCGGAGGGACCTCTCCAGGCCCAGGGGGAGGGGGTAGGGGGAGGGGTAAACCCCTCCCCGAAGGGGAAGAAGGGGGGTTGAGAACAGAGCGGGCTCTCTAAACCACTCACGCCCAAAGGGCTGGTGGGATTCACAATTTGTTTTGATTCCTTGCTCGACTGATTACTTGTGGGCTGCTTTGGGGGTATTTGTTTTTCTTGTTCGTCCGAGATCCGCCCGTTGGGGGACATGCCCGACCTGAACCCAGGTCCAGCAGAGCACGTGGGCGGGTCCGCAGGGCCACCTGGGAGCCGCGGCTGGCGTGATGCTCAAGGTCCTGCGGGTGTCCCCGCTCGAGCTGTGGACGAGCGAGCGCGTGCAGGCAGCCTCCGCCGCCGTGACCGGCGAGGGCGGGACGCGCGCGTTCCTGGTGAGCGTCAGGGAGATCGCCGCGACGCCTGCGCTGCAGTGACGCGCGGCCGGAGTGGTGGCGCAGGCCTCTGTCGGCGGCGAGCGAGGGGGAGGAGCGAGGCGGAGGAGGCCTTCTCGGGAGGCGGCGGGACTTCCCGGAACCGGAGGTGGATAGACCTCCAACCCTGACGCGTCGATCAAGGAAGTGGCCGTTCTCGGTTCGCGTGAGGGCGTCGCGGCCGTCATTGTTGCGGGTCTAGGTCCGTGGGTTTCGGCCCCAGGCCGTTTTCACTGAGGGGTGGCTTGCTAGAAAGGGAGGTTTGTCCACCGCCGGCAGAAGCCCTCGCGCCTTCGGAGAAGTGCCTCGTGCCTGCGGGGGAGGCTCCGGAGACTTCTCCGAAGGCCGGGTCCAGCTCCTCTCTCCTCTCCCTCCCTCCCCCCTCTCCTCCTTCCTCCTCCCTCCTCCCTCCTCCCTCCCTCCTCCCTTCTCCCCTCCTCCCCCCTCTCCTCCCTCCTCTCCCCCCTCCTCCCCCGTACTCGTCCCTCCTCCCCTCGCCCCCTCCCTCGCCACGGAGGAGGGCGGTCCTCAGGGAGAGACGGCTCCTGGATCTCGGGGCGCTTCGCATGCCGAGCCGGCTCTCCACATTCCTTGGGCCCACGGAGGGCCCTCGGGCACCTCGAAAGGTGGAACAAGTGGAACAGCCTGCAGGGCTCCCTCGAGGGCGCGAAGTTATTCGCGCTTCGCGCTTCGCGGTCCTCGTTCCTTCTCCCCCTCCTCCTCGTCCTCCTATTCTCCCTTTGGGAGGGCGGCGCGAGAGCGCGAAGTTATTCGCGCTTCGCGCAGCGCGAAGCGCGAAGTTGGGAGCCCTAGAGCCTGCAGGGCTCCATACAGCGGAGACCCGTGCCAAGTAACACCCTGCTTGCCTCCGGCGTGCCTCTTGGCCCTCGGGCACCTCGAAAGGTGGAACAGCCTGCAGGGCTCCATACGGCGGAGACCCGTGCCAAGGAACACCCTGCTTGCCTCCAGGGTGCTTCTTGGGCCTCGATTATTTTCTGCTATGGACAGCGTGGCGTACCCGCACCAAAGAGCCGACGGATGTCCCCGGGTCTCAGCGCTGCGTCTCTCGTGGGAGGTCTTCTGTGGACTGGCCTCCGCTGTATCCCATCGCCTCCGGATCCCGCCGCACCCTTCGGCGCTGGCCCCCCTCCGCCCTCGGCCGGCCCCCCGCCCCTTTGCTCGCCGGTGGCACGTTGGGTTCGCGTCGTGTCGACCGGCGGCGACACCAGCGCGGGCGTCTTAGGTGGAATCAGAGCGTGAATTACCTACCCCGGTTTCGCTTCCAGGAAAAACCAAGTCATACCACGCACCTCCTCGTCAAGCGGCCTGACTAGTACAGGCCGTAGTTTGGCATCGCTTGGTATCTCTTGGAAGCGAGGGTGGTCAAAAGCGATGTCGGTTTGTTTTCCCTTTATGGAGCGCCGCCCGCATCCCAGAGTCAAGTCGGGCGTGCCCCTCTACAGGAGGAGTATATTCGAAGACAGTAGAAGAGCTGGCCTGGGGACAATTTGCTGACTATTGTTTTGAGCATGTTTGGCGCATCTCTTTACGATTTCTCTCGCCCAGAAAAGCCCTGTAGGGGGACACGCCCGACTGCCTCCCAGAATCGGCCCGTCGATGAACGACCTGGCGTTCATGGAACGGCCAATCGTTCCAGTTTGAACGATCCCCGCGGTGTCAAAAACCAACGCTGGGGTCGTCACGACACGAGTCTGCCGTACATGCCCAGCGCGCCCGCGTTTCGTACCCCGCGGGCTCGTATGATGCTGCGCCGCTCCCTGGCGGCGCGGTGCCCCAGCGAGGACCCTGTTGCCTTCACGCGCGGTGCGCCGCGCGCGCGCGTCGCGTCGGCACCGGGCTTCCGTCGGCACTGGCATCGAAGGGGCACGGGGAGGGCGGAGGAGCAGGAGGCGGAGGACGAGGAGGAGGAGGAGGAGGAGGAGGAGGAGGAAGCGGGGGAAGAGAGAGGAGGAGACGAGGAGGAGGTGGAGAAGGAGACGGGGGAACAGAAGAGGAGTATGGAGAAGGAATTGGGGGAAGAGAGAGCAGGGTGGAGCAGGAGGCAGGGAAATAGAGAAAGAGAGAGAGGGGAGAAAGAGTAGAAGCAGGAAGAGGTGGAGGAAAAGAGGGGGAGCACCCGTGCGAGCAGAAAGCCGACTCGATTGAGCTGGCACGAGGGCACTTGCTGGTGCAACCACAGCCGGAGCCGAAGCCGGGCCAAAATTTGTGCGCATAGAACAATGAGAGGACCCACCCTGCAGGCGTGGTTGACAGCGCATCGTTGCGGTGCTAAAATCTCGCTTGCGCAAAGGCCCGTCCCCCGAGCATCAGCCATATGAACACCTATCGGGTTTACGTGCGCCCGCATGCCTTGCTGGACTCTGGGCGCGGTTCAGCGCTGCGACTGCCGCCGCCGCCCCCCTCGTTATTGTAGTGGCCTTCGGCCAGTGCCGCCGATCCGGGGCGCTCCGACTGATGTGATCCTTCTTCGCCCTCGTCCCTCCTCTCTTTTTCCCTCCCCTCCTCTCACTCAGCATTTATCGAAGACGCCTACGGCGAATCACCGCCGCCCCCTGCCTTTTTGGAAACGCCGATGTGGCCGAAAGTTGGACTAGAGCTTGGCCAAGCTATCGGACCATGAGTTCCCCGAGTCGGTTTGGAAAGCTTTCGGGGAACACATGGGAGAGAATGATTATGAACAGGAAGAGGAAGAGGAAGAAATAGAGTAGGAGGATGAGGGTTGTTAGGAGTCTCTTGGGGCACCCTTGGGGTCTGTTGGGGGCTTCTTGGGGGCCTCTTCGAGGCCTCTTGGAGGCATCTTGGGGGCCTCCTTGGGCCTCTTGGGGGCCTTTGGGGGCTTCCTGGGGGTCTCTTTGGCCGTCTTAGGGCGTTCCTGGTCCGTCTGACGCCGTCTGGAGCCGTCTTGGGGGCCTCTCTGGGCCGTCTTGGGGCCCTCTTGGGGCGCTTCAGGGCCGTCTTGGAGGCCATGTTGGGCGTCTTGGAGGCCTCTTGGGCCGTCTTGGGGCGCTCTTGGGGCCGTCTTGGGGCCCTTGGGCCGTCATAGGGCCTTCTTGGAGGCCTCTTGGGCGATCTTGGGGGCCTCTTGGGCCGTCGGAAGGCCGAAAAGAAGAAAACGCAAAAAACCTTCAAAAACCTAAGGAAAACCAATGATTTTGGCCTCTTCGGGCTCTCCTGGAGAACGTCTTGGAGGCCTCTTGGGCCATCTTGGAGGCATCTTGGGGCCATCTTGGCCGTCTTGGAGGGCATCTTGGGCCGTCTTGGAGGCATCTTGGAGCCATCTTACCCGTCTTGGAGGCCATCTTCGCCGTCTTGGAGGCATCTTGGAGGCCATCTTGGGCCATCTTGGCCGTCTTGGAGGCCATCTTGGGCCAAGTTGGGGCAACAAAGGCATTGACAGATGGATTTTCGGAAACTTGCGGGTGGCCGGCGGGACGGGCCGAAGCCCACTGGGGAGTTCTTTTAGAAAAAGAACCAAAACCAAAACCTGAATCGTCCAGCACGCCGTGCACCCCTGCAAGCAGGGGGCGGCGGATCCAGTGGCCGTCGGCCTATCCCGCCACCGTGCGTGGGTGGTGGGTCAGAGGCCTCATGGATGCTGGTTGGGATCTCGTGGTTGGCTGGGACTTCTGGGGGCCTCTTGGGCGCCTCTTGGGGCTTCTTGGGGGCCTCTTGGGCCTCTTGGGGCCACTAGAGGGCCTCTTGGGGGTCTCTTGGGAGCCTCTTGGGGCTTCTTGGGGGCCTCTTCTGCGCCCCTTGGGGCCTCTTGGAGGCCTCCTCGGAGCCTCTTGGTGCGGGAGGGGTGGTACTCGAGTTCGGAACCCCCTCGGAGGCCACGATCCTTGTGAGGGGTGTCAAAAAACGCATCCGCCGGAAACTCGCACCCCCCCCCCCCACCCCCCCTTCCCCGGCAGAGCCACCCCGGCAACCCCCCCAGAGGCTGAGGCTCAGCCTCGAGGCTGTAGCTGAGACTCCTTGAAACTCACACGCTGGATCGGCGGATTTACGGCCAGCGACCCGGGTGACAGCGACAGTGGCGGTGGCAGGCGAATCCAATCATGGCGGTACGTCTAGCCAGACTTCGATGGTTTCGATATCCTCTGAGGCGGATGGTGAAGAGCAGCGGCAGCAGCAGGCAATGGACACAAGACAACTCGACCGACGGCGATAGCAAAACAGCAAGAGACGCGGCGAGCGTGGGGGGAGCACCCGTGCGGATGGACCCGGGTGAGCTGGCGCATCGCTGGGCGGTGCTGCAGCCAGCACCCTCTGACCACAGCCCCCCCCCAGAGTATCAGCCACACACATCGGGTTTGCAACCTCGTGCCTTGCTGAGCTCGGTCTCGTGTAACCCATCCCCATCCCCATCCCCATCCCCTTCGAGACCCCCACCAGATTACCACCCCAGTTGGGGATACACGATACACCCCTCGAAACCCGAAGCGAACGACCATATCCCCATCTAGGGGGGTAAATCGGGCAGCGGGGCCCAAGCCACACCGCTGTGGATGGGGCCCGGAACAAAGATACTCACACAAATCGGGTTTGGAACCTCCTGCTTCGCTGAACTTTGTTCGGGTTTCATCATTGAGAATGCCGCCGAACCCCCCTCGCTAAGGCCACCGACTCGGGCGACGGGGAGAGCGACCATGGCAGTGGCCGGCGCGTCCAAGCCTAGCGGCGTGCAGAACCATATTGCAAAAACAGCAGGGAACGGAAACAACACCGACGAGGAGAGCGATACAAGGCAAGACGTGACAAACGTGACGGGAGCACCCGTGCGAACGGAAAACCGATTCGGGCGAGTGGGCCCCAAAGCGAACCACAGTCCACCCGAATTGGAAGCCCAAGCGAACATTTCAGTAGTTACACAGGTGAACGGTAAGAGCCCACCCTGCATCTTTTGATTGGCAGCGCATCGTCGAGCGCTGCTGCAGCTCCCCCTGAGCACAGCCCCCCTTCCCTCCCAGACCATCCGCCAGACAAATCGGGTTTGCAGCCTTGTGCCTCGCTGGTCTCTGAGTGCGTTTTGGCGCTGACACCGATGCCGCCACCCCCTCACCAGGGCCACCGACTTTGGCGACCGCGACAACGACAGTGGTGGCGGCCGGCGCGTAAATGCTTGGCGGCGCGCCTGAAATGGGCGGGTGGAGCAACAGCAGCAGAGAGGGGAAGCAAAACCGACGGGGGAAAGACCGACGGAGCAGGATGAGGAGAAGGAGGAGGAGGAGGAGAAGAAGGAGGAGTGGAGAAGAGGAGGGGCACGAGAGAGGCGGGAGAGGAACATGCAACATTTCATGACGGGGGGGGTGCAGGACAGGGGCTGGAGGAGGGGGATGTAGGAGGATGCGAAATGGAGGACGCAGGAGGAGGTGGCGGCAGGATGGGCCAAAGGATGGGGGATGACATGAATGAGAGTGTGGAAGAGGAAGGAGGGAGGCATGGGAAGCTGGATGGGGGAGAACGGAGGTTGCAGCGAGAGGGGGGAGGGGCATGAGGATGCAAGCCAGGCGATCGGGGGGGAGGAGAGGAAAGACGGTTGGCAGCATGGGGAGAAGGGGGGTGCAGGAGAGGGGGGATCACTGTCAGCACGGCGCCCGACACCGTGGGTGCCTTGCCGCGCCGCCCGTCGTCGCGAAATCGGGGCGGCCGCGGGCGTGCCCCCGCTGCGGCGCCGCAGTCGAAGACCTCGCGCGCCGGCTGCGGGCGCGTCCGCGATGGCAAGCGACGCGCCACGAGGCTTTCGCGGCGAGAGGCTTCGCCATGGCCGCCGCGCGCGCTGGCCTGCAAGCGGGGGGCGCGAGGACCGCCGCGCCCCCCATCGGTCTGGCCGCGGCGGCCGCCGTGGCCCAGCAGGAGCTCTCGCTGTCGCCGCTTCCTGACCGCGCCGCGGAGTGGCCGCGGCGCGGGCGGGCCCGCGCCTGGACCAACCGCTTCTGCCTGCACGCGGGCGGCCTCTGGCTCGCCCACGCGGGGCGGGCCGCGAGCTCCGAGGGGGGCCCTGTTGGGCGCGTCGAAGGGTCGGCGGGCGGCAGACCGCGCAATGCGCTGAGGTGCGGGTTGCGGCGCGAGCGCGCAGCCTAGCCGGGGTGCCCGTTGACGTCGTCGCTGGCTCTTGCTCCGCGAGTCGCGTGGGCGCCGCGCATCGAGGCGGGGCGGGCGCGATGGGCTGGCCGCGCCTTGACCTTTGGGGCGCACTGGCACCGCATTGCCTCGGCGGGTTGCCGCGGGCGAAGTGCCACCTGCAGGGGCCAGGCAGGGGCCGCTGCAGGGGCCGGCGGCGCCCCCGCGGACTGGCTTGCCGACGCTGGAGATCGAGCCCAGCCCCCGCCTCACGATTGGCGCTGGCGGCGGTCGCGCCAGCAGGGCGGCTCGTGGTGCTCCAGCGCTCGGCGTCGTTGGTAGAATTGGCAGCTGTGAAAGTGGCCCCTGGCCCGGGCCCGGGCGGGGGCGCGGCGCCGCTGGGCGGCGCCAGAGCGCCGCCGGAGACGCGCGCCCTGCGCGGGGGGGGCGCGGTCGCAGCGGCGGCGCCCGCGGCGCCGCCGCCGCAGCGCAGGCAGGCCGCTGCCCCGGCGCCCGCGGCGGCCCTTCGCCCGGGGGCGGCCGCGGCGGCGCGGGGCCGCGCTCGGCTGGCTCACGCGGCGCCCCAGGGCCGAGCCCGGGTCCCATGCTGTGGCCAGCCGCCCGCGCGGCGGGCGGGCGCCCGCGTTGCCGCCGCGGGCGGGCGCGCTGCCGTCGTCGCCCGCAGCGCGCGCTGGTGGCGATGAGGCGGCTTGGCGCGCCGCCCTCATTGGCAGCGGCTGGCCGCGCGCCCATGCCCGCCGGATTGAGCCGACGCGGGTCGCAGTGGGCGCGG